TAAAAAACTCATCTGTCCGTGTCATGGAGGAAATTCATCGTCTTGTTCATGTACATTATGCCATTTATATATGACAATGTACATTTGTATGTGCAAGACGGGATATTAGAAGGAGAATAAGAAGACCAGCTTCGGAAAATGTAAGGACAAAAACACTGTAATTCTATCTATTATTTAATGGTTTTCCCTCTTGTCTTGATGTCCTTTAAAATGTCTTTCAAAATAAACTCAAGTTTGTTCACGTACGCCTTCCTTCCACAACCCACTCCCTTATCTTCAGGCTGAGTGCTTTCCCCTGGTCTGCTTGATCCGTTGTTGTTAACGAGAACTGCTTTTTTTTCCTTCATCCTGTCTCGGGGGGGGGGGGGTCTGATAATTCACCTAGTGGATCCGCCATTCACCATGAATTCTTTTTGTGTGCAGTTACCGTAGATTGGGGAGGCCATTATTTAAACATTCTGAAGTATGTTCTGTTCCTCAGAGTTGTTAATCTCTTTTTCAAACATTTATTTATAAATTTGACTTGCGCTGTGCTGAAGTTGACAAAACCGTGTCAGTTGAGGAATGACACTTTTGGGATATATCGGGGTTTGTGCAGATGGTAACTTATTAAGTGATAATATCCTTATGTGTAGAATAGTGATGTTGTTATTACTATTTTCATTTTTCGGTTGTTTTTGGGTTTATTTTGTTTTGGTTTGTTGTTGTTGTTTTTTTTTTGGTTCTTTTTTATGTTATCTTTTCAGTCATTGTACCATGCCTCCCTAATTTATTTTTTCCCTTTGGCCCCCCTTCCTGTCCAACCATTTCACATGGATGTACAGAGAAGGCTCCTTGGAGAAGTCTGACCTCTACTTCACTGTGTTGTCAGACTGTCTGTGGTCAGTTGGGGCATCTGAGAAAGAGGTTTTTCTTTTAATCAGCATTTTATCAAATGAGTTTGAAGGTGTGTGTTTGTGTGTTCATGTATGTGTGTGATTGACACTTCCGTTTTATGCAATTTGTGAGCTTCTGACGCATTGATGTTCTGGCATGGCATGCCATATGGCGCGGGTGCCCGCAGCTAGGAACTTGATAAAAACTTGTTGCATTTATTTCATGGTGTTTCTGAGGCGTTTTTTTTTGTGTATGTTTGTCTTACGTTTTGTTGTTGTGTTACCCCATTGTGTGGTTGATTGGTGGAAGCCCTACTTACTTATACTAAGTGCACATTGCCCCAGTTGAATACATTTAATTCAGTTGGGGCCAGCCAGATTTTCCTTCTTGGGTGGGGCCATTTTGGCACAACTGAGCTATGCCCTTAAAATATATACGCATTTATTTTTAGCTAGGTTGCGAGTCGAATCGGTCAAAGTGTCTCTAAATGGTAGCTTTTGCCCTACAATGGAGGAAAAAATCTGTCTGGCCATAACTCTGTTCGATTGAATCCGATTGGCAGTGTACACTGAGTGTTAGGTGCTACTTTTGTGCTCTTTCTGGGCTCTTCTGTCTGTCATGCCAGCGTCTGGATTATTACTAAGCATTTTTCACTCTTGTACACTGAAGACGTGAATCCGAATCCCTTTTGAGCTATATTCGGAGTCTTAAGAGGAAGCTGCTGAACATTTTTTTCCTCGATATAAGTATAATGGAAACGTTGGCCAGGTCTCAACGTGTGTACAGCAGTGTTCAGAAGGCATGTTGGCTACACTAGCCTACACTGTCATCATCCTGGGTTTGATGTTGAGTCCGTGTTAGTGTTTACAACAAATACATCTGTCTTTACAATCTTGCTTTTATACATGGAAGACTCATCAACTATGAACTCATAATCAAATATCCATCTTGCTTCCTCAATTGGAAGAGCTAATTTGTGCTACATAGCCTAAATAACTTCTCCCCCGCTCCCTCCCTCCCTCCCTCCCTCCCTCCCTCTCTCTCTCTCTCTCTCTCTCTCTCTCTCTCTCTCTCTCTCTCTCTCTCTCTCTCTCTTCCTTAGTATTACTCTCTAGTAGTAAGTAGAACCTCTGATCTTTGGCACTTCTAATATGATCTATATCTGTTGCAAGCTCCGTAAAACTATTATTAATAAAACTAAACTAATCTGAGAACAGGTAGTCCGTTGTCAATCAGATGGACCGTCAAGATGTCTGGCACCCTTGAATCTGTGTGGTGTTTTGAGACTTTCTTTCGACTCACTTTGCTGGATTCGGCATTGTGAAGGCTTAGTAAGTTAGATTCTACTCAATGACTACAATGATACTAAAGATCGAGGCTAAGGCAAGGCAGACTAGATTCATACTTAGTCTAGATTTCAGGAATAGAGTCGCAACCTGTAAGTATAAGCTTTCATTTTTCAAAAGTACGGGGGATGACTGGTTATATGGATTAGAGTGAGTAGCCCAGCACCCAAACAGCCTTTTGTTTTAGTAGAGGGGGTCCATAATATGATTGTGAAGGACAATGTATGGATCAGTTCAGTCCTTGAGAGCGCCAAAAACACTCGTTTATCAAAAACAAACTCTGCCGGGCCTGTTTTCTGAGGAAAGAGTGTCGCTGGCACTGGTAGGTCTCAGTCACTCTCACTTCGTCACTGCCCGTCATTAACCTTTGTATCTCTGTCTTGCTTTTTCCTGGCACTAAATGACCGTTGTTATGTCGAACGTGCTTTTTTAAACTCAAACTCAGACTGGGGGCTCTTGTGGTCTAAAAAAGTTACGGTGTTCGCCTCTTATTCAATAGGTCCCGAGTTCGAAACCTGACAGCGGCGGAAAATGTTCTTCTCTAAAATGTTTTCCTTTCACCTCCTTTCCTTGTTCTGTCGTCTGCTTTCGTCTCCACTTTCTTAATCCCCTCTCCCCTTCTTTTCCCCCTCTGGGCTCCCGACTTTCTGCGGCCTTTCCACTGCTACTCTTGTCTTTGGCTCCTTCTTACTGCTGTCTTTCAGCCACACCCATGTCTTAGGGTAGGTAAGATCGTACACCTATAGTCTTCTCGGAGAAGGTCCCGTGTGAAAGTAGCGCTCGTTGGAGTTCCCTTGGAGTCTAACCTCGATAAGAGTAGGGTTTGGCCGCCACCCAGGCAAAATTCAAAATTAATTCCCTTAATTTTTGGGGGTAGATCAAAGTGTTTTACGGCGCTCGCAACTGCATAGGGTCATATGAGCGTGCGGGACACATAAAACATTTTCAGATGGAAAGAAATTTTGAAATTTTCCCGGCTGGCGGACGAAGGCTTCTCTTATGCTTATACGATTTTGCACCACGAAAGGATCTTTAGTTTAATGTGCACAGCTTGCGCACGGTACCTCCGAGATTTTTCGCCCTTGTCCGAGAGGACTAGGTGTAGATCTTTCTTACCATAAGATCAGGGGTGTGACTGAAGAAAGACAGCAGTAAGAAGGAGCCAAGGAGCAGCAGTAGAAAGGCTGCATAAAGAGTCAGAAGCCCCGAGGAGGGGGCCAAGGATGTTAGGGCTGGGGACAGAAAGTGGAGACGAAAGCAGACGACAGGAGCATTGCCAGAGAGCAGGGAAGGGGGCGAATGGAGTAAATTTTTTAAGAGAAGAAAAATTTCCGTCAATATCCGGATTCGGACCTGGGACCTTTTGAAGAAGAGACGAACCCTACAATCTCTAGGCCACGAGAGCCCCCTAAAAATGTTTAATGTACCCCTTGCGCTCATACGACCTTTTGCGATTGCCGTAAAACACTCACCAAAGCGAACACATTCAGACTCGGTGGACGGACGGCTGTGGAGAAGCGGTAGGTCTGATGTGCTTCGCCGTCGCACGCTGGAGACCCGCGCTCTTCTGCTTGGATGTTGTTTGTTTGTACCCCTCTCAGCCCCGGTTGACCCTGGTAGACACTGTCGGAAACCCACCTCCTAAATTATCTAAATTGTGTCGATGGAGGTGTAAAACATGAAAAAAAAAGACAAGGATAGAAGTGTCACTGTGTCACGGAAAAAGTCTTGTTTTTTATCCAGCTGTTTTCTTATTACGGCCTGTCGTCTTTTCACGTGGGATGAAGGCTTTGGTGTGTTCATCTTCAAACCAGAACTCCGCAAGCGTGTGTGGGCGGGTGTGTGTGTGTGTGTGTGTGTGTGAGAGAGAGAGAGAGATAGAGACAGAGAAAGAGAGAGACAGAGAAAGTGAGAGAGATTGGGGAGGGGGTGGTCTTGTATTCTAAGGAATAGCTGAGGAAAGCAGCTGTATTACTTTTAACTTACCCAAAAACATAGTGTATGTACTTTCATCACGCCGCATACACATTCTGGAGCAAGCAACACAAATTCCAGATAAGGTTAAGTAAACTTTATTTAACACTGTGAGAGTCTCGTTTCCAGCACACACACAAACAACAGTAATGCTAATTATAAACACTGGTAACAAATGATACCAACATAGAATGATACTGGGGGTTTTTTCGATTGCATAATTCTCAATTATTTTTGCAGAATGTTCACATTTTTAAGGGACAGTCACTAAATTAAAAGAAAGTTTTAAAACGTAAGAATAGACGGCTGGTCAACACGTCTTGGTACGGAGAACCACCCACTTGACAGAGAAAAGTAAAAAAGACACAACCACGACCCAAACCTCCTTCCTGGTTTATGGTGTCCAAATTTAAGTCGAAAGTAGGCCCCATTCAATGTTCAAGATCATTGCACGTATTTTTTCTTCAGTTACTATGCGCATTTAGATCTAGTCATCTAGCGTACAAGTACAAGGTACATGCACATTGTTATTCCTCTTCTGCTTAGCTTAGTCTACTTCACTGACACTACACTTTTAACAATAATACTGACTAAGCAAACAATAACATTATGGAAATCCCAAGTCTACACAAAAATCAATACCACATTGCACAGCCCACTCTACCAAGTTCCCTTGTCTTTCTCCCACTGCAAGCTTGCTGTTTCTGCATGCATGCATGTAAGGAGATATGTACAGGGCTGAACGTTTTGAATGCAGGTAGTATTGCTGAAGTCAGCTGTCTTTTTTCATTTTTTCTTTCTCTCTTTGTTTTTATTTTAAATTTAACTACATGTATGGCCATAATGTAGAGAAAAAAACTTATGAGCAGAAGCAGAACTTTGAATCATTTAGGGTCAAATGGCTTGGTGCCATTGTGTCCGAGGGTAGACGGTTATCCAAACGATGCCCCCCCCCCCAAAAAAAAAAAAATCCAAGGAAAAACAGAGCGGCCTCTGTTGAAGACGAGATAGATTTCTCCAAATTGGATCAGTCCAGCCAAACTTCCCAATCTAAACAATTATTGCACACGAAATGAATTTAAAGAGGGCTTAGGGGTAGATAGTGGAAAGGAAAGTTCCTTGCGGAAAATGGGTAGATCTAGTATAATTTATGTGTGTTTCATTACACTGGGTGGTTGGAGTTGGAGGGTGGTACTGGTGGGTTCTACACTTTTACCCTTCTTTATATTCAAATTTACTGTGGGGGGGGGGGGGTTCTGTTTGTCTGTCTGGTTCACTAAATGAATAGCCAACATTATTGTTTTGATGTCCTTCTCTACTTGAACAAATCGGGCATGTTAAAAAAAACAAAAAAACCCGCATAACAAAAGGTAAGGCCACCAGAAAAAATTATATTGGTGTACATCTACATGTTTGGGATATAATATCTTCTCACGGCCTAGAAATAGCGACTCGGGGAACACTCGGGGAGATGGGCCGAACACTCGGGGAGATGGGCCGAACACTCGAGGAGATGGGCCGATGCAGCAACGAGTTGTCGATTAGAGCAGCAAAATTACCGTAATAACCTCTCATTATCTGGCCCCACCCGGTGAGCACACAACAGCCATGACAGTAACAGCCCGGCTACATTAGCCCTGCATACTGTCTGTCACATTAGATGGAAGTTCCAAGTTCAACAATTCACCCAGTAGGCCTAACATCCGATACGTAATGGAGATGCCAGTTGGGGCTATGACATTAAGCTACGACCATAAATAATTCTAGTAATTGCAAGGCTTCATTCAGAGTCGTATACTGCGTCCAATTTAAGAAATATTATACAATTATTTCGGGACACATAAACGTTGCTCGGAAAAACAGCACTCATCATTTAGGACTGTTTAATATCTGTGACAAACACATGCAGGATCCAAATGTGAAGTAAACGTGTATTGTGTACTGGCTACATTTTTTAAAGTCTGAAAACATCGTGGCAATACTACCGCCCCCCCCCCCCCAAGCCAAACTTCTCATCATATTTACTAGAGTGATAATCAAATCCCCCGATCTTTGAAGCCTCCGCTACGCCATTATATTTCGATTTTAGATAATATAGTCCTCTAGGCTGGTGCAGTTGCGATATAATGGTATTGTTGGAAGGAGAAGGCAGAGAGTGGATGGAGGGCACTACTGTAAGTGAGAACCCCCTCCCCTTCCCCTTTGCCACTCGAACATTAAGGATCACAAAGTGAGTTTCTCTTTACCTAAAACAAACAGAAATATTTTAACTTCACTTGGGTACAAAAACCCAAGTATTCTAATCCTCCTAGCTAATTATATGTACATCTAAGGCATCGAAACAACCTCAAAGAACCCACTGTTGTAACAGAGACAGTCAAAACAAACTACACACTATGATGTGCATTATGTGAAGGAGGAAAGAATCAATAACAACACCAACAACATGTCTTCAGAATCAGGTCAAATTTTGAACACATACGAATTGGAGATCATAATCATAGTCATAGCATTAGAATACAATGGGGAAAATGTCTTAACAAAACACCAAAGTACATAAATAAACCTGAATACAGGCTCGTACAGTCTGTTTTCGTGAGGTAAAAAGACAGAGAAACGTAGATCTATGTGTGCTAAGAAACAAAGTCTCATACTCATCGTTTTTAACTTGTCTTTTTAGAAGAATTTCCGCTGTTAAGTGTCATCGGATATTTAGCACACTGCATAAACCATAAGGTCCAACAATGAACTGGACAAAGGTAGATTCTAATTGATAACCTGAACGACTATGGGTACGAGTAGTGTGTGAGGGTGGCCGGTCGGTTGACTTCAAAGTCAAAGAATACAAAATGCCACAGTACTGTACGAGCATACAAAAATACAATGATATCTCTACATAAGACGGCAGATATCTCTATTTTTACACTGACTTACAGGAGGAGAAGAAAAACCCGTTTGCAGATCGCAATAGGGTTACAATAAGCACGTGAGCAATACAACATGGAATTATGAACAAACACTAACTTCCATTAGCAACTATTCTACCGAGTGTAGAATAGTACGGAACTTTTTCTGTCTTCTTCACCTCACGAACGAAATGCTACACGCCCCACCCCTTTTTCTGTTGTGCATGTTACCAACTTACGGGTCTTCGAAACACAGCCGATACTGACACCCAAACACCTGAGGCCCTTTTCTCGCTTGACCACCTAGATCTATTTGAAGCAAGAGTATGTACTGTGATACAAAAAAATCTAAAAGATGTTTGCCTCAATAAACTCCAGAGGCAGAATTTATGCGACTTAGAACTTCTAGCCAGTTTGCATTATGAAATAAAATAGATTTTAAAGGAAACTGTAACTGATATTTCAAGAGAAAAGGGTCAGAAACGTAGAATATTCAATATGCTTTCTATTTATACACTCATTAAACACACTCACACGCTCACACATACACACACATTTTCACACACACACGCACACACACACACACACACACACACACACACACACACACACACACACATACACATACAGAAAAATTACATCAATTTTTAAGAGAGGAAAAATCAGGTGGCCGCGGGGCGGCTGTTACACGAACTCATTTCACATGAAAAATGGGAATTTACATCAGAATATGGCCTCAACAGTTCTCATTTGTTCACTAACTTGAAGTGCTCAAGGGAGCTGATGTACGCTTTATGTGAGATCAAGATCACACGTCTACTATTTAGCTTCTTTTACTCCCAGAAATTTAGAAACCGAAGAATGACAGCCCAGGAACTTATGTTGTCGAGATGACATCTAACTGCAACGTAATTTGAATAACTTCCTACATCTTATGTCTTGTGCAGATTTTATCGAGTATTGAAGGAACAGGATTTCAGTTAACATATCATTAGGTCGATTATCAGAGAGAAGTTAACGGGTTGTTGAAGGGTGCAACTGGTAAGCCCTTATAACTCTTTTCTTTCCATTTGTTGTTTCTGTCTTGCTTTTTCCCTGCACTAAATGACCGTTACCGTATCTATGTACGTCTCTTTACTCATCCAAACAAAGAAGGAGTAGCTAATTAAGACGGTACATAATACACGTAGGCCGTAGGCCTTAGCCAGAGAGGTAAGACTAGTGACAGAAGAAATAAGGTACAAGTAACAACAGCAGACATCTCATTCATGTGTCACAGAAAGCATACCCTATGGGACCAGATTCTCCATCTGCAATTGACGACTATCTTTAAATCTTCAAGGAAACGGAATCCAAATAAAGAAAACGTAGTCCAGGAGCCCTGAAAGTCTACTGTTCGCTCAGATAAGCCTTTTTTCCAATGCTTTGACTTTGACAACACTGAGCGAGGCTGTGCTCACATTAATTCATAATCTCTTTCACCGGAAGGAAGAGGACCGGTAGACGAACGGTTTCACTGAGGTTTTCATCCGAGAAGATGTCGTCTCTACTTTCGTAGTGACGTCACCAAAGCTGCCGATACGGGAGGCCAACATGGCTTCGTCTCTCGTGTTGAGCAAGAATGACGTCATTAGTCCGTCGTCCACCTCCCTTATCCTGATTGGTGGACCAGCCCTGTACTCGCGCACTTCTTGATGAATGCGAAACATTTCTTCAACGTTGCTGTCGTCCTTTGCGGTTTTTAGTTTGTTTGCTTGCTGATTTAGAACTTCCCGGCGACTTTCTAGCATCTCAGACTTTTCCGTCAGCTTTGCTCTTTCCTTCTCAACTTCCTGATACACTTTTGCTTCCAGAGCTTTCTCCCTCTCGTCTATAAGCTCCCTCATCCTTGTCATGCACGCCTTCACTTGCCCCAGCAAGTCCACCTTTACCTTGTCTATGGTCTTGGTGACTGACTCGAGAGCTATGCGCTTTTCTTCCATACAAATACTTTCCGCATCAAGCTCTGTGATAGCGTTGTCCAGGACAGGGGTGTACTTAGCTAAAGCCTCCTCCAAGTCCATGACCAGATGGCCGTCCGCCTCTTTGTGGTCCAGCACGGTACAGTCACGACACACTGGCTTAATGCACGGCTCGCAGAAGAAGTTGAGCGGTTGGAGGCTGTGCTTGGAGCAGAATGTAACCGTATAGCGGTCGGTGTGGTGGACAAAATCCATGAGCTGAACCACGCGGTGGTCAGTCGGCAGCCGTCGGATCGTTTCGTCTGTGGCCACGAAATTGGAGCGGCAGGTCGGGCAGTTGATGCTGACGGCGCTAGAGGCGAGTGGGCGAATGGAGGAGGAGTAACTCTGGCGCTGCTCCGAGGCCAGACGGTACAGGTGGTCGATGCACTTCTGGCAGAACGAGTGGTGGCACGGGAGCATGCGTGGAAGACTATCGTTCCTGAAGCGGTCCTTACAGATGTTGCAGCGGAGGAACTGCTCCTCAAAGCGGTCCTCGTCCAGGACCATGCTACGTTTGTTGAGGGAGAGAGTTGAGCCGCGAAGCTCCTCCGTTAGATTCACTGTTGAGAAACAGGCAAGAAAACATCCGTAGTTAGAAACTCAACGTACATTACAGCACACATGTTTCATACACGTAAACGTACGTTAGTAGTAGGCTAAACATATATACATAAATCGTCAGATCAGGGGGAAATTGAGAAGGCCGCTTGAAAAAAAAAAAACAACGGGTGAATTTTTGTGAGTAAATTATATGCAGTACTAAACATATTCTGAATAATGTCAATTGTGTTTATAAGTCCGTAGTTTACAACTTGGTATGTTTGCGAGTGTGTGTGTGTGTGTGTGTGTGTGTGTGTGTGTGTGTGTGTGTGTGTGTGTGTGTGTGTGTGTGTGTGTGTGTGTGTGTGTGTGTGGGGAGGGGGGGGGGTAGAGGATAAGCTACTGGACCATGAATATCCAATCAAATAAACTGATATTACTTCGTGTATTCTAATACGTCGGCATCAGTCATTTCTGAAATAAAACAGGACCATGTGTGCTGTCGTTCCTTGGCGCGCCGAGTCGCACTTCAGTTGTGTCGTAGAATTCCCAGTTGCTGTTGGTAGTGGTGTAACTTTTGGCCGAGATGTTAATATTAGAGGTATTGTTGCTGCTGCGGTGGTCCAAAGAGGAAAGGTGGTTCGTCCTTCGACCCAATGCTGTGTGGGAAGAGTCACAGATTCACTTCACTTACCGAGTAGCTCGATAAAATGGTGTCCTGTGTCCAGTCTCAGAAGGACAAGTTTGCTTTCATTTGAACCCAATACAGCGATGCCAAAAGAAGTAATGCCTGAATACAGATGCAATGTCATTATGCACAATAAAAAGCTGATCACCCGCAAGCGGTACCTGTGAAAGTTCTGTGACAATCGTTACGTGCTCAATCTCATGAAATCAAACATTCACGTTATTGTGACTACCAACACTGAATCAACATCTTAAGCAAAAAGAACTTCTCTAATATGAAGTGAGCTGATTGCTCCATATGCAAACAGACCTTCGTTATTTTAACGAAAAGATATTAAAACTGCAGGTCAGATGGCATTCTGTAGAAAGGATTTAAGGCATTTCCTAATTTTTTTTATAAATCTCTATCATGAGGAAACACATCGTGGGTGGATGCATGACAGACTCCAGTAAACTTATGAATAAACTATCAAAACTGTGCGAGAAAGAGAGACAGACAGACAGACAAAGAGAGAGAAAGACAGACAGACAAAGAGAGAGAAAGACAGACAGACAAAGAGAGAGAAAGACAGACAGACAAAGAGAGAGAGAGAGAGAGAGAGAGAGAGAGAGAGAGAGGGGGAGAGGGAGAGGGAGAGAGAGAGAGAGAGAGAGAGAGAGAGAGAGAGAGAGAGAGAGAGAGAGAGAGAGAGAGAGAGAGAGAGAGAGAGAGAGAGAGAGAGAGAGAGAGAGAGAGAGAGAGACTGAACAGCCTGAGGAAATCAGAAAGTTGAACTCACAACGTCATCACTTACTTTTCCGATCCAGCGGCCATTTGGGTTCTTGCCCTTCGGCCCGATACAACGTCATCACAAGAAGCATTGGTCGTTCGAGTATAACCCTTTGTACACACACACACACACACACACACACACACACACACACACACACACACACTCACTCACTCACTTACTCACTCACACAAATACAAACATACATTTGCACGCACTGAACAGGCGTCTCTTTTGTAGCGGTTACAGCATGAAATCTACACTTTACACATCTAGATCTATATAATATAATTTGTGAAAGTTCGTCACTTTGGTAGCCTAAAACTTCCGAACCACTTAACTTTCGAAATTGAAAAAGTGGTTCAGAATCATTTAAAGGGTGCACAATTATATAAAGGAGTCTGAAATCACTGTAATTTAATTTTCAGTTTTTCATTAGTTTCATTTAGATCTAATCTTGGGAAAGCCCGTCTTCAAAGACGCCATAGTAAACAAGTGAGGCTTCCGTTCACAAGAGCCCGCACTGTTTCCACAATGACTTGACAATCGATTCTTTTGAGTCCGTTCACAGAACGGGTACCCAGCTAGTTTGACACATTTGCCGGCGACCAAGTTGTATCTCGTGGAGGGATAAAAATTACAATTTTGACGTGATTTGATAAAATTTTCCAAATCAAACATGTTTGATTTTCTTTGACACCATTTGATTCTTTATATAAATTTGACGAAAACTACTAATCAGAAACCCACAGCATATTGAATAGTCAACTATTTCGATTTTGTGCGGAAAGCGACATGTCTTAATGGTGAAAATGATGAAACGGTATTCCGGTACGTTTAACGCCTCTATCAACACAACAGGGTTATTTAAGAGGCGGGACCTCCGAGTTTAACGTCCATCTCCGGAAGGACCGAGCCAAATAAGAAATTCATGTAAAGTGCCTTTTCCAAGGACACAATGTCTGACCGAGCTGAGGCCTGAACCCCCGACCCCGTAATATCACGATTACATGTGTGCTAGCCTGACCACTGGGCTACTGACGCCACGGGCCCTAATGGACTTCTGGGGTTAAACTTGATGAAAGAAAAGCAGGGGTCAGTTTGATATACAATAGTGTGCAATGTGCACTGGCGACGCCAATAACTGACTCCACTCAATCCGATCTGGTCCATTTGACAACTGGGATTCTGCTTTTACATACAGATTCGCTGTGGAACCCAAAAGACATGTTTATGAAGCACATGTACATGTATCCCCGTCTGTCTCCCCGGCTGTCGTATCGCATCTAGCCCGGGAAGATAGCCCTGACGGACAGTTGAGACAGGGTCTTTTTGTCGTTCGTGTTTTTAAACCCCTAAACAGTTTTGATCATTTAGGAGGCTGACTTTTGACCCTGCCTGTCAGGGCCAACTCGGGCTGAGGAGGGCACGACGTCCAAATAGAAATACCGAGCTACTCGATAAAAATTCTCCCCACCCGAGAATCGAACTCGGGTCTTCTGCGTGTCACAGCAAGAGGCTACTCGCAGCACCAAAGGCCCTGCTCGAAGCAGCCGCCTTTTAAATGAACTAAAATATAGTGCCGGTAGGTGCAAAAAACTCTTTAAATGACCCCCTTGACTGAGGAGGCCTAGCCCCCTTACCACCCCCTCCCCCACGGAGAAATGGTAGACTTACAGTGTGCCATAGAAGGCGCCATGCTCGGTTTCTCGCCGACAAACGCATCATCGAACTGAGCCGCCTTGGCCATCGTGGGAGGTCTGTGGACATACAAGGGAGCAAAACATTCAATTGGGTATTGTGAGGGTCAGGTACATCATTACACATTAGTGCCCACGCACGCACGCACGCACGCACGCAC